AAATTTCGCCTTAATATAACCATAAACTTAGTTTTATTGACATTCAATTTAAGTCTGTTCAAACATAACCAATCGTATACTTTATTTAAGTCATCTTGCAATTTAGAGGCTATTTCAGCTATATTTTCTCCACTTAGCATAAGCAACGTATCATCAGCAAATAACTTAATATCGCAATACTTTATGCAATTAATAATGTCATTAATATATATATTGAACAAAATTGGAGCTAGCACAGACCCTGAGGTAGTCCGACAGATACACTTCTTTTATCGGATACTGATGATCCAATCGCAGTTCTTTGATATCGATTCGTAATGAAGTTTTCAAACCACTTTAGTTCGATACCATTTACGCCTATATTGAATAACTTTTTTGTAACAGTTTTTGGTCGATCGTCTCAAAGGCACGTTTAAGTCTAAGAATACAGCTATTATATGTTTATTCCTGCTCAGGTCTTCCTTCCAGTTAGCAATAACCAGGTTCAAAGCGCTTTCACAGGAATGCCTTTTACGGAAAGCTGATTGTTGTGATATAATAATCTTATTACTTTCCAAATATTGTACAAGTTGATTTTTGACCACTGTTTCAAGTATCTTTTCATCACAGGGCAATGTGTTTATAGGTCTAATCTCGTCAGCTTTAATTTTGAAAATTTGCTGTTTAAAATATCATATCAATGTCAGTATCATATCAATTAACAGAATTAATAAATTAGAAATTTATTAGTGGAAATAACTCATACCTTTTGCATAATATTAATAGAATGTATATTCTAATAGCACATAAATAGTGAAATTTCCACATTTAGAATAGTTACTAGAGCAAAGAGTCGATGCATGGAAAAAAATACATCGATATATCGGAAGGTCCAAAACATCGGTTTTGTTCGATGCATCATCGCCATACCGTTTAATAAAACCATTTTATTAATAAAGGTGACTCTTATAATAATAATAAGGGGACCCATAGTCCTTACAGACAAAGTAGTGGTACATTTGTACCACCAAATATCTTCATACATTACAATACGATTACAATCGTAAATGCTTCAATTGGAGCCGGCATAGTGAAGAGCAAACAATATATACACGCAAATGAAGCAGACTAAACGGCGAAGTCGAGTTCTATGTGATAAACTGTTTAAGTCGACACGGGGGCTTCAAACCATACCTTCACCGATTCAAATACGAACCGGAACCGAAGCGCAGTCCCGTCGAGAGAGAGGAGGGAAAGGGGTGAATCCACTCGGGCCCGGGGTTTTTAAGGGGCCTGAAATATCTGAACCATAACTTGTTATAATTTTCTTACACTGCAATTGCTCCTTCATTATAGGCTTTTATTATAAATATATTCCGATTCGTGCTGATTGTTTCTGCCTCTATACATTAAAGAAAATTATCACATGCTTTTAAATAAATGCAATTTATGTATAGGGGCCCGTGATTTTTCAGTCCGGGCCCGAGTCTTCTCCCGAAGGCCCTGCATATGCGCCTACTGCGAAGGAGATGTAATAGAATACGTCTGTTTTTCGTGTATGCGATTTGACAGCACCAGATGCAAACTCCGCAACATATTTGGCGATAGTTTCACACCTGAGTCACTCGTGGAGGCTATGCTACAAAGCAACGAAAAATAGTCGGCAGAATGTGACGCAATAGCAGAGGCAATGAAGGGGCTAAGCACGGTGGAGAGAATACAGAGTTGGCGCCGATGACGATACCGCTACTCGGCTCTCAGTGATTTTGACAGAATCAGCTGTTTTGGTGACGTCACAGTAGAGAAGACAGCAGTTTATTTACTTACTTATTGTTGGTAAACATCCTTGTGTGTGTAAAATCAGCAAGTACAGAAATTTCGAGAGTTTTATTAAATACTTTATTTAATTAAATTTATTTTAATAATGCGGTGCGCAGTAAAAACTTGTGCTAGTGATAACAGCACTACCCCGAAGGGTTTCAGTTTTTTTCGTTTTCCTTCTGATGGGGCACTGCTGGAAAAGTGGATCCAGTTCTGCCAGAGGGATGATGAATTCAACCCGAAGACGAGTGTTATATGCATGAAGCATTTCACAAGTGATGACTATGAAAATAATGTAGAATTCAATTTGGGTAAAGTATATTTGATTCATATTTTTGTATTCAGTAAGAACGTGCTATTGAATATTCCTCAGGATTCGCTAAGAAACGACTACTCAAGCGCGGTGCTGTGCCAAAAGTTTGTGTTGCCAATCCTGAGCCCACTCAAGAATTGAATAAACAAATTATAAGTGATTTGCTTCAGCAATCCACTTCAAAAGGTAACTAAAGTTATAACAGGTAAAAAGTGTATTTCATTATTACAAGCTTGTGTATTATAGAAGTGTTGAATGTGGAGGAACCTCAAGAGGAACCTCACGGATATGTTGACGCTTCGACATCACCGTCCCGAGAATTTTTTTATTATGACTGCAATTTACAGGAAGTGGAGGAGTTGAAAATAAAAATGTGAGATAAATCCATATAAGAATGTAATGTGTAAATTATTTTAAACTACATCTAGAGTGGCGCTACAACGCGAAAATGAGCTGCTTCAAAAACAGAATAAAAAGCAGAGCAGCGACCTTGTGGCTTTAAAACGAGAATACGAATCGCAACAGAAAAAAAGTGCTTGGGAAATGGAACAATTGCAGAAACGCCTTTCAATTATGGAAACTGAATGCAGCAATATGGAGGAGAAACTGGCAACAATTTTTACTAAAGGCCAGATACAGAAATTAAAATCTGGATCAAAACGACCGACCTGGACTGAAAACGACATCGCGCAGTCAGTCACATTGTATGCTGCAAGTCCTAAGGCTTACAGGTTGCTTTATAAGCAAAAATTTCCCCTACCTGGAATTAGAACACTTCAAAAATGGGCGGAAAAGCTGGAGATGTCAAGAGGCTTGATACAACCGGTATTCCAGATACTCAGAGCCGCTACCCACATGGACACATTGCAAAAGCTATGTGTCCTGAGTTTCGACGAAATGAAAATAAGGCAGACATATTGTTATGATACTTTGTCGGACTCAACACTAGCGCCTGCAAATTACGTACAAGTAGCAATGCTCAGAGGTAAATACCACAACAAACAATTTACTTACTTGGATTTCTAATATACTTATATTCATTAGGACTTATGGCTAAGTGGAAACAGCCCGTGTTCTACGATTTTGATCGCAAAATGGAGGAAGATGTGCTGAAAAACATTTTGCAAACTTCACAAAATTGCGGTTACAATGTTGTAGCGGTTGTATGCGATCACTTTTTAATGCGCTTAATATAGACGACGACAACCCTTGGTAAGTTATAAAATTTACATCGTCTTGATTTATCTTTTTATCACAATCCGTAAGAGTTTAGGTGAGTTTCTCTAATAAGGTAGCCACCTAAACTTATTTCTTATGTAATTCATTTCTACTTCGCAGGTTTGTTTTCGGAGATCGAAAAATTTTCGTTTTTGCGGACGTACCGCATTTGCTAAAATTACTAAGGAATCATTTTCTTGATCAAGGGTTCTTAATCAATGGAAAATCGGTTAAAAAGGAAATAATTTTAGAGCTGTTATCATGCACCTCTACAGACTTGACAATTACACATAAGATTTCGGCAAGTCATTTGAGCGTGTCAGGACCTCACCGACAAAAGGTAAAAACGGCTGCTAAATTATTTTCACATACGGTAGCGCAAGCAATTACGAGGGCAGCAAGCTTAGGCCACCTTAAAGAGCAGAATTGGAATGAATGCTTCCAATTGTTTAAAGTAGTTAGTATCTTTGACAAAAAAATTAACATAATTATACATCTTATTATTATAATAAATTTCAAACATTTCAGACTAATGATTGGTTTGACGTTTTGAACGTCAGGGTGCCACACGCTGGTTCGAGAAAGCGATGCCATGCTTACGGCCTAGCTCTCGAGGAACAGGACCAAATACTGAACGAGATGACGGATATGATAAAAAGCATGAGGGTGATTGGAAGGAACACTTTGCTGCCATTCCAGAAAGGTAACACAACTAATATACTTTGTGATACTTTATAATATAATATGTATTCCATATTTGTTGATATGAGTTTATGTTCAAGTATTTACGACTTTTGCTTAATTTACTTTAAGGAATCATTCAGACGAATAGAGCACTGAAAATGTTGTTTGAAGATATAAAAACCCGATTTAATGGGAAATATATTTTAACTTACCGTCTCAACCAGGATGTGCTTGAAAATTTTTTTGGAGTGATCCGGTCAAAAGGTGGGCTGCACGATCACCCGGATCAGCAAGAATTTAAATACTGCCTCAGGTTGTATTTACTTGGGCATAATGAAGGCGTCCTATCGCATTCTGCCAATGTCGAGGTAGATGATACACCTGATTTAGAAATAACACAGGCGCCTCTTTCAGGTAAGTATTTAAAATACATTTAAAATAGATAGTTATGTATATACCCAACAAATCACGCAACTATACTTAAAATGCATGCCAATGTATTCGAAGGTATAATATTGAAAAATTTGAAAGTTGCTTCGGAGCTATGGCCGGTGGAGCAGCTTGAATTCGAAGATTTGGAGTACGATGGTTTGGAGCACTTAGCTGGGTATATATGCCACAAATTGCGAGACGACATACCTAGCACCTCAATCAGAAGTAGGGAAGATCCGTCATACTCCTGGGCAACTCACTTAAGTGAGGGGGGTTTATCTATCCCCAGCAGTAGTATGATGGATGTAATGCGTGATCTAGAGTCAGTANTGTGATACCTAAAACACTGATACATTTTAGCGAATTCATATAACATTTATTGAATTTGTATCACTAAGTTTTATTATTTCAGCTGCCATACATACGTTTCATTTTCAAGAGTTTGGTCCTATCGAGATAATCCACTAGATGTTACCAAAAAAGGCCCACGTTTGCATTACAATCGGCAGAACTCCTCAACATCTTCCAAAAATAGGCCCTTTTCAGGGCCGCCAAATTTTTAACAAAGATATGAAAATGGTCTTTACAAAAAGAAACATTTTTAATTTTGTTGCCGAAATTACAGCTATGGTCAAATATTTATTAGCACTAAAACATTATCGAACTTTTAAATTTTTATCTAGAATATTTGAAAAAATAACATTAAAACATTAAAATACTTTTACCTAAAAATAAACTTAAATATAAATATATGTATATCCTACAATCGTTTATTATAACGATATCTCAACTATTGCAATGGTTCGCAATATTCCTTAATAATTAATTTACATGGGAACGCATGACATTCTATAATTGAGTCGTTCAGTGCACAAATTGATAAACTCCACCAAAAAAAGTTGGGAGGTGCGATCAAATAATGTACATTATTTCTTAAAATTCCATTCATATAATAAAATCAAATAAATAATGTTATAAGTATTATGTACTAAGACTTTTCAAAAAGTGGAGTTAATCGATGTGTGCACTGAACGGCTCAATTATTGCACAAACACATACGCAGAAAGGTGTAGGCAAACTGCCTAATTGATGTCCAAGCCTTTGTAGCCCAATTCGATGTTGTTCATTTGCAGGAGCTATTAGCATAAAAAAGTTAAAATAGTTTAAATTAAAGTTTTTTTTTTGGGGTCTACATATTTATACATACCTTCGATCACTGCTTTAACGTGTATAGCTTTGTGAAGCTCTTCCATGTGTTTTATATCTTCTCCAATATATAAAATGGCAATCAGCGGTTCGGTTAATTTTACCGGAAATTGACGGCCACTTTGACTGCAAGCATACAAAGCCAAAGCTCAAAACCATAGCTTATATTACACCTGAAGCGCCAGTGGGATTGTGGGAACCCAGCAATTAGTAGAACAGTGTGAAATTTGGTACTTGCTCTTATACATACATATGTGGTGATTTGTTTGTTAGGCGCGCCCCTTTCTGTTTTTTTTCTTCAAAGATTCTGCACTCAAACAAAGATTTCCAGGCTGCAAGGTGTAATATAAATCATAACAGCCTTCGACATAAGTAAATGCCTTGGCTATTTCTGGTTTACTAGCCGATTTGAACGAAACAAACTCTTCATATTCAGAGCTGCATGTTTGACATAGCACTGCGTACATGGAAGCATTAATAAGATCACCATTCAAATTATTATCTGCCTTAGATGTACTAGTACTAAAGCCTGTGGCCCGCAAATCACACTAAACGTGAACATGCACCTTGCGCAATGTGTGCATTGATTAAAATGGGGTTCCAGTGATTACTTCAAAATCTGAAAATACAACCGATTGTGTTGATGACCTGAAAAAGTGAAACTTATTTATTATAAGCACTGGCTGAGTGCGCAAACTTATTAAATTATACTTACCATAATAGGAGTTCATGTGTAGTGGGTGTTTGATGATATATACGTGGAAAGATCACTTCTACTTCCTCTTAAAGTATTTGAAGTATTTGTTATATAATTTCCTGCATTGGATGCTCGGATGCCGTACTGTGTACAAAGTTATTTTAAAAACATTGGAATCTAGTTGAAGAGAAAAAGTATGCAAATACGTGCATATGTATGCATATTTTGCTACTATTGAATGCCTTTCTGTAATGTTTACCTATGCACAACACCAGACAGGTACTCAACCAGCGTCACTTCCCGTCCAGCTTCATTGCGTTGCGCTACTGAGGCAACCGGGTGAAATTGCTCAGGCAACTGCATATAACGACCGGATTTGATATTCAAGGAGGCATAAACAAGACTTCTCCACCTTGCCGTTCGTTTTATAAACAATAACACTGAGGAACTCCTCCTCAATCGGTTCAATTTTTATGACATATGCAAACACAATTGTAAACGCACAAAATAGTACACCAACCAGGAATATATTCACTGACTCTAATATTTCTGCGTCCATTTTTCATTTCGCCATAAAATATTTGGTTTAATTAAATAAATATTCTATTTGCTATCAAAAGCCACGCAACTTGCACACTTTCCTAACATTTTCCTAACCTAACATAAAACTTGTTTACAAATATTGGACATTTTGACAGCTTGTTCTCGCCGCTCTCAGTTGTCAACTCTACAGTGACGTCACGCCAAAATTACTCTCACGAATTCTGCTGCGATCGGCGCAATCTTGTATTCTATCATTCTTGGGGGCTAAGGACCCCCGAATGGCTACGGCATAGCAGCGGCGTTTAATTACTATTCTCCCTCACGATGTAGGGCTTGACGTCATTCTTGTGTGTTGTGTGCATTTCAGTCACCGACTATCCCTTGCGGCGAACAGTTGTTTAACTCGAGTCTCTCCAGTTTACTTTTCGCTATTAATTTAGCTCCTAGTTGCGGTACATTTCCTTAAATTGTGACGTGCAAGCGCATTATTGATCAATTTCTTAGTAAAAAAAGAAAATTTGCGATTATTGTGTTTGATTAAGTGAAATGCCCCCCGGGGCTACCTGTCTCAGGGACAATCGGTTTGCAAGTTTTGCCGAGAGTCCACAAGCAAAGCGTAAGAAACCTTCAAAAAAAAGTATGGGAAACATTTCCTGAACTTCCACCAACAAAAAACGACGATCCAAAATTTATAGTGCTTAAAGCTGAGGATCCTAATAAACCTCTTTCCAAAATTTCGTGATTTCGTGTGCATGCTGCAATTCTATCAGTAAGTAAAGAAATTAACAAGATCAGCGAACTGCGTGACGGAAGCTTATTACTCCTAGTTAAAACAAAATCGTTGCCGAAAAATTCATTAAAACAAAATCTCTCCCTTCCATTGGAGCAATTAATGCTAGCTACCACCAAAATCTTAATTCGGTCAAAGGTACAATCTACGCTCAGTTCCTCATTGATATACCTGAGGAAGAAATTATTGAAGGTTTGTGCTCATATCAAGTCACTTCAGTATACAAATTCAAACGAAATGTAGATCAAACCGAAAAACATACTGGAGTTTTATTGCTTTCTTTCGATAGTTATGCCCTACCATCAAAAATTGATATAGCGTGGAGAATGACCTCTGTTTGCCCTTATGTGCCCAGCCCCATGAGATGCAAGTCATGCCAGAAGCTAGGCCACACCGCTAAAAATTGCAAAAACTCTCCCATGTGCGTTGTTTGTAATCTCCCAATACATCACCCTGAAAAATGCAATAGAGTTATGTGTGCAAACTGCTCTGGCGAACACGCTGCCTCCGCAAATACTTGCCATAAGTACAAGCAAGCAAAGGAAATACTCAAGATCAAAACTATTGAAAAATGTAGTATGCGTGATGCACTTAAAAAACACAGGGAGACTCTGCCAATTCCCACTTCGTCAGAAACCTTAGCTAACATCATGAAACCCATCAACCAAAACTCAGAGAATATTTCTGTTCCCACCAAAACTCTTCAACCATCAACAATACTGATTTAATTCAAAATTCCCAAAACAACTCTCACAAAATCGACAACGTAACTCTTACTTATACTCATTCTACTAATTCCCATCAAATTATTGGCGCATCAGGGCTCATTGCAAACAACAATAACGCATTAAACAACCACTCTTCTGAAAATTCAACGACCACGTATGCTTTCCATTTCCAGACAACCGGTCAGGTACGAGCATGATTTTTAATTTCGACCAAATTCAAATACATTGTTTGTTGGTCCAAATAATGAGACACGTATTTTTTCTTTTGGCTCGGAAAAATTTTTCGGCCGAATTAAACGCGATTTTGTTTTTCAGGCCAAAATCGATTATTCGAATTGACAGTGAGAATGTTTTTTTAAAATGCCCATAACTTTGTCAAAATTTAATAGATTCCAACAATGTTTTTACTCAAATGTCAGTAATTCTTGTCACTTCAAGATAGAATGATATAATTATTGATCTTCATTATTTAAAATTTTTTATTTAACAATAAACAAAAAGTGCAAATTTTTTGTTAAACTTAATTTCTCAAAAAGTGTATTTTTTTCTCAAGTTTTTTTACCGAAAAAGAGACACTTTGAACTACAATCAACCCAAATCTCTAATAGCGAAGATTTTTTTTTTCTGAGTTATGATATTTTATAGAAAATATACGTTTTTGTGGTACATAGTACAATATTCTTATATTGTTTAACTAAATGGAACATATGTTTGTAATATATCAGCAAAAAGTACAGCCGTGATCATTTTTTGTGTATTAAATAGATATGAGAACACACTTTCCACCATACAGTTTCGATAATAAAAAGCGGGAAAATGTGATTTTTTCAAAACATCAACCCTGCATGTATGTATATCCCCCCTGATCAACATTTTACGACAATGGATCTTATCCAGATAATCCAACAAATTTCCTCCCCGCAAGTTCTCGCAGGAGATCTGAATGCCTGGAGCCCGATATGGGGTTCTACAGTATCCAATGGAAGGGGCAAATGCATTGAAGATTTGGTACTTTCCTCTAGCCTAATATCGTTAAACGATGGATCAGCAACGCATTTCTCTACCCACTCTACTTTTACACATGTTGATGTAACTTTGTATTAAGACACACTTGCTCCAAAATGCGAATGGAGAATTTTTCATATTTTACATATTTCTTAATATAAATTTACCATCACAAATTAGCAAGTGCAAACCGAAGGTGTTATACAAAACAGAACGCGCTGATTGGATAAAATTCCAAACTCTTAGTAAAACATATCGCAACACCAGTTCTATCTCAGAGAATATAAATCAAGAATGTGCTCGGATAACAAAAATTATTCGCGCAGCAGCAAACGCTGCTATCCCGCAAGTCCGCCAAAACTTGTATTCTAAGAAAGTTCCTTGGTGGAATAAAGACTTAGCTAAGCTGAGAGCAAAAAAACAAGCTGCATGGTACGAGTATGACCGATCTCGCTCCTTGACCAACCTTATTTTATTCAAGAATGCCAATGCTTCATTTCGTAAGTCCGCTAAACAGACCAAACGCAAGAGTTTTGAGGAGTTTACCTCGACAATAAATCCTTCCTCTAAGCCAAAACAGCTATGGAGAGATATAAAAAAACTTTCAGGAGCTCCTACTGTGTCTAGTGTTGAAAACTCCCTTGAAAGTGCGGAGCTGTTTGTTAATCGTTTCTCCGAGGCGAACTCAGACAATTCCTTCAGCCCCCTGTTTCGTGACCTGAAATCCGCTTCATTGGCTGCAAACACAAATTCCGCCTCCACCCCAATTTTTTCAGTCAAACAAATAGAAAGAAGCATCACACTTACCGAACTTGAGTTGGTGCTATCTCCGTTGAAGGGGAGAACACCCAGTTTAGACAAAGTTTCGTACCAGATGATTCAAAATATGCATCGGGAACTTAAGCATCGCTTAATTTTGCTATATAATGAAATATTTGATGGGGGCATATATCCCCAGTTCTGGAAAACTTCCTGTGTCCTACCAATACTTAAACCAGGCAAGTGTTCGAAGGAAGTTGACAGTTACAGACCCATCTCCCTCTTGCCTTGTATGGGTAAAGTTTTCGAAAAGATTGTCGCCAATCACTTGATGTGGTTTGCCCAGCGTAGTAATTACATTTCAACTAATCAAGTAGCCTACAAAAAAGGCCAGGGCACATTGGAAGCACTAATACAAATTTACCAATTTATTCTAAAGCTTTGTCTACCAAAAACCATGTTTCTATATTGTCTTTAGATTTTCAGAAAGCTTTAGACAGAATCGGTATCCACATAGTGTTAAGGCAATTAACAAAATGGAAAACTGGGCCGAAAATGTTGGCATTCATCAAATGTTTTCTGACCAACAGAAAACTTAAAGCTAATGTGAATGGGCTCCTTTCATCAACACTTTCTTTATGTAATGGAACGCCTCAGGGCTCCCCACTTTCGGCATTTCTTTTCATAATTGCATTCGATGAAATAAGCCATATTCTCAACACACAAAGTAGTTGATTATCAGTTATACGCTGACGACGTGATCATCTACACAAAAATGAAAAGCGTTAATGACACCGAAAACTTATTTGTAAAATTCATGAAGATATTACATCTTGGTCAATTGTATCTGGTCCATCCCTTTCCTTAAGCAAAACAAATATGCTCCACATATGTAAGAAAATAACTTGCAATGAAATTACACTAAGATATAATAATACTAACATCAAATGTATAAACGAATTAAAAATACTAGGTTTAATACTAGATTCGAACTATAATTTCAGTGCACACTGTAAATATATAAGAAACTCTCTAAAACTAAAGCTTAATATTGTAAAATATCTTTCGTCCAAGCACTCTCTAGTTCACCCGAATTCTCTTATTAATGTTGTCAGAGCTCTGCTACTATCACATCCAGTATACGGAAAATGTCCTAAGAGGTACATCAATCAACTATGTGCTCCATACCACAGTGCTATTCGACGTAGCTTGAGAGCTTTTCCGACGTCGCCAAATTTAGCAATTTTAGCTGAATCCGGACTGCCGAGCATTGCTAACAGAACCACAGAGTTAACCAATCGTCTATTGGTGAATTTGTCAATGTTATTGTGACTTTTTAACATTTTTATTTTTAATATTTTTTTATTGAGCTTAGTACCACGATTGTTTATTAGGAAAAATTGAAAAAGCAACAAAGTCTAAGCGGTAGAAGTTATAGCAGCTATTTCGGAGATCATCACATCTCCTCATCAGACTTCTTTTTTCTAGACTTCAGCAGGGATCGAACCTGCGTAATCGATGTTCAAAGTCAGAAGCGTTAACCACTGAGCTATGTACGTCCCGTAAACTCTTGTTGCTAATTTATTTTCCTT